ACCCCCCTGACGGCTTTGCACTCGCCCCCTCCCGCCCATCAGGAGCTGCAGGTTCTGGATCCCATCCCCAGGAGAGGACCAGGAGCAGCTGCCTCTGCCCTGACATGCTCCAGGCCAGCTGCAGATGCCAATGAGAAGGGATGTCCCCCAGGGAGATGCTGGCCAGCCCCAGCCATGCCAGCACCAGCCACCACCCTCGTGGCCCCGGCGCCGGGCGCTGCCTGCGTACAGGTGGTGGAGGAGTAGCTGGTGTGCCGGTACAGGAAGTGCTGGTGCTGATCGACTTCGGGTTCCTCGGGCTCCGGGGGGAAGGCAGAGTCCCCGGAGCCAGGCGTGGCCGGCGAGGGCTGCGCGCTGCTGAGTCCTGGGGGCCCTTTCAGCTCCTCCATCAGGTGCAGGAGCCCCGGCTGCTTCTCCTGCTCCTGGCGCTGCAGCTCGTCCTGCGCCCGCTTCATCTTCTCCCGCTTGCGCTTGATGGTGGCCACACGGTCCCGCACTGCCTTGGCCACCAGCTTGTAGTCCGCCTCGCACACGAAGCCCAGGGTCACCTGCAGAGGGAAAGGGGGGGGGCACATCAGGCCTTGCCCTGGCCCCGCCTGGCAGGGCACCCAGGGAGGCAGTGAGATAGACACTGGGGAGATCAGGGCACCAAAGGAGTGTGTGGCAGCGTGTAGAACAGAGAGGGTTTGTTGCTTCTCCAGGATACAGCACCGCATAGGCGTCATGTGGACATAAGGAGTCAGGGGCTGGCAGCCCTAGACCCCTTGGGGTGGGGTCCACAGGCCCCCAAACCCTCAGTACTCAGCTTAGTCTCCTCTCCTCGTTTTCCCCAGTCATGACTGCCCAGCCCCAGGTGGCCGTCTCTGCCTCCCTTCCTTTGTCTCCCCCCTGGGAAGAGCCTTGTTATCTGGGACTAGGTGTCGGGACCCAATACACGTGGCTGAGTCAGTGGGAATCACAGCGCAGGAGAACCCCGGGTTACAGAGCAGACGGCCCCCCCACTACAGGCAAGGGGAGGGGGATCGCTGTCCCCCGCATGAGGCAGCAGCACCCACTACAGGCAGGGGAGGAAAAGCCCTGGTCAGCAGCAAGCCAGCAGCACTGATACGAGTGGCTCCCCCCCCCCCAGGGCCGGGGGCCCGCGGGAA